TGACCATGTCCATCCCTTTATGGCCACCATGTACCCGTCCTCTGATGGCTACTTCGAGCAGGATAATGCACCATGTCACAAAGCTCGAATCATTTCAAATTGGTTGCTTGAACATGACAATGAGTTCACTGTACTAAAATGGCCCCCACAGTCACCAGATCTCAACCAAATAGAGTATCTTTGGGATGTGGTGGAACGGGAGCTTCGTGCCCTGGATGTGCATCCCAGAAATCTCCATCACCTGCAAGATGCTATCCTATCAATATGGGCCAACATTTCTAAAGAATGCTTTCAGCACCTTGTTGAATCAATGCCACGTAGAATAAAGGCAGTTCTGAAGGCGAAAGCGGGTCAAACGCAGTATTAGTATGGTGTTTCTAATAATCCTTTAGGTGAGTGTACATGTACTGTACAACGAAATTAGATGCAATCTTATCAGTGCAACAAATACTAATATATATGAATATAAATACAATTTCTAAAAAAGAATGATAAAATAAATAAAAACACATAAAATCACACATACACAACAATTCAATGCATGATACATCTAATAAAAACTGTATTCAAATTGTGTTTAGTGCTGCTATTGCTTTTGGATAAAAGCTATTTTTTAATCTATTTGTTCGTGTCTTCATTGTCCTGTAACATCTACCCGAGGGCAGCAGTTCAAACAGGGAATGTCCGGGGTGGGATGGATCCTTAATTATATTTAGTGCTTTTTTGAGACAGCGGGAACTATAAAGATCCTTCAGGGAAGGGAGAGGGCAGCCAATCATTTTCTGGGAGGTGGTGACAAACCTCTGAAGCGCTTTCCTCTCTGTCTCTGTGCAGCTTGTAAACCACACACAGTAAGTCAGTATACTCCCAATAGAGCAGCGGTAGAAGGACATAAGCACCCTTTGATTGAAATGGTCATTCCTGAGAGTCCTCAGAAAGTAGAGTCTCTGCTGTGCCTTCTTAACCAATACTGTGGTGTTGGTGCTCCAGGTTAGGTTCTCCTCTATGTGCACGCCCAAGAACCGGAAATCCGGAACCCTCTCCACACATTTCCCCCTGATGAAAAGGGGTGTAATGTCGGTTTTATTCTTCCTGTAATCTATTATTAACGCCTTGGTTTTGATGGAATTGAGGATCAGGTTGTTATCCATACACCACTCAGACAGCTGCTCAACCTCGTCCCGATAAGCGGACTCATCTCCCCCAGAGATGAGCCCCACTACGGTGGTGTCATCCGCAAATTTAATTATGCTATTGCTGGAGTGGGCAGGGGTGCAGTCGTGCATGTACAGGGTGTAGAGTAGGGGGCTCAGTCAGCACACAGCCCTGTGGAGAGCCAGTGCTTATACTGAGAGCTGATGAAATGTGGGGGCCTACTCTCACCCTCTGGGAGCGATCTGACAGGAAGTCCATAATCCAGCGGCAGATTGAACGAGATAGACCCAGATTTACCAGTTTAGTAAACAGTCTGTGAGGAAGTATGGTATTAAAAGCAGAGGTAAAGTCCACGAACAACATCCTAGCATGGCTCCCCCGCTGCTCTAAATGAGTCAGAGCATTGGGGAGAGTTGTGGCTACCACGTCCTCAGTAGACCTATTTGATCTATAAGCAAACTGGTGTATATCAAGCATGAGTGGAAGGTTAGAGATTATGTAAGTCCGCACCAGTTTCTCGAAGCACTTCATTATGATGGGAGTTAGTGCCACTGGGCGGTAGTCATTCAGGCTGCTGATCCTGGTCTTTTTTGGCAGTGGAATTATGGTAGAGGACTTCAGGCAAGGTGGGATGGTGGACTGGGATAGGGACCGGTTGAAGATTTTGGTAAAGACCCCAGCCAGCCGGCCTGCACAGTCCTTCAGCACCCGTCCCGCGATGGCATCAGGTCCTGCCGCTTTCCTCGGATTCACCGCCCTCAGTGTGCGCCTCACCTCCTGCTCCTCCACAGTGAGGATATGGCTGCTGTAAACTGGTGGGTGTAATGTGGTTGCTTCCGGACACACCACCTGAGTCGCTCTTCCAGTCGGAACCTCGACTGCCAGTACCAGAGGCATACTCAGGAGAATCCAATTTCTGCAGAGCTTTTTTGACCAGGTGCTCCATGCACTTTTCTTTACAGCCTCGCACCTTTCAGAACGAAGGATCTAAGGTGGCATTCGTTTTGACTCTGCTGACTGGGAGAGCGGCGTTATGGGGAACGGCGGTGTGGGAGAATTAAGATCCCTGCTGTACCTCGTTCCAGGCACTCGCCGAAGAGATGAAGCGTGTGTTCGACCGCTCGATGGCGGGAAGAGAGGCACCAAGACTCCTCGCCAATCTAGAGCAGGGTAATCGATTAGTATCGGACTACTCCATCGAATTCCGCACGTTGGCGGCCAGGTGCCAATGGAACGAGGAGGCGATGTTCCTGCGTGGGCTGGCTGACCGTGTTCAGAGAGAAATGTACATGTTGGATCTTCCTCCGAAGTTGAACGGACTTATCTAGCTGGCTCTTAGAGTGGATGCACGAATCTCCAGGATGGAGCGTCGGGGTCCTCCGAACCGATTGCCTGGTGGCATTGAAGCTCCACAGATCAGCGGCAGGGACACGGTCAGCCAAACCAACGATCACGAGCCCATGCAGGTAGGTAGAGCTCGGCTTTCCCGAGAGGAGAAGGAGAGGCGGAGGTCCCAAGGACTCTCTGTACTGTGGGGGAGCGGGCCACTTCGTTAACACCTGCCCAGTAAAAGGCCAAGCCCGATAGTAAATCTGAGGCTACTATCAGGTGGGATCTCCGCCGAGAAGACCTCATCACCATCGTCAATGCTCCTCCCGGTAAGACTAAGATGGGCAACCGGCACACACGCCTGTCAAGCTTTACTGGACTCGGGAGCAGAAGGGAACTTTATAGACAGTAAGCTCGCTCAGAGACTTCAGATTCCTGTTCATTCACTCACTCGCAAGATATCTGTTCACGCACTCAATGGACTAGAGCTTCCCAGTATTTCACACACAACTGATCTTATTACACTCATCACCTCAGGCAACCATGCAGAAACAATACCATTTCTCCTCATGGACTTCACTAATTTCTATCAAGTGTTTTATTCACAAATTTAAGCCAACTAGCCGCTCCTCTGACTGCCTTGACCTCCCTCAGAACTACGTTCAGGTGGTTTGATACAGCAGAGGCTGTATTCACCAATCTTAAAAGCTGCTTCGTTTCGGCTCCCATCCTTGTAGCCCCAGATCAGTCACGTCAGTTTGTGGTGGAGGTAGGCGCAGTTCTTTCCCAACGTTCGTCCACAGACATCCGTGCGCGTTCTTTTCTCATCGATTATCCACTGCCGAACGTAACTATGACATTGGTAACCATGAGTTGTTGGCAGTCAAGTTAGCGTTGGAGGAGTGGCGCAATTGGTTAGAAGGGTCGGGGTTACCTTTTATCGTCTGGACTGATCATAAGAACCTAGAATATATCAGAACTGCCAAAAGACTCAACTCCAGGCAGGCTCGGTGGGCTCTTTTTTTTCCGGTCATTTTGATTTTTCTCTTTCGTACCACCCGGGTTCTAAAAACATCAAACCCGATTCTTTATCACGTATTTTTGAACGTTCCGAACGTCCGTCCACTCCCGAGTGTATTTTACCAGAGAACCTATTTGTCTCCACACTCATGTGGGAGATCGAATCGAAGGTCAAGACGGCCTTAGAAGGGGTAACGCCTCCGCACGGGGGTCCACCAAATCGATTATTTGTGCCGGAGCAGTTACGGTCTGACGTTATTCAGTGGGGGCATTGTTCCAAAGTGGCGTGTCATCCAGGAGTCAATCGTACCAGGTTTTCGGTTAAGCAGCGATTTTGGTGGCCATTAATGGCTCGTGACATTCGCAGTTTTGTTTTGGCTTGCTTGGTTTGTGCTATTGGTAAGACTTCCAACCCTCTTTGGAGATCATCATCCGCCTGGTTGCCTATCGAAGTCCCTGCGCCACTTGCCAGTTCTGTGTTCCCAGTGTTGTGTGTGTTCTAACCATTATTCTGTTTATTTATAATAAACATCTTACCTGCATCTAGCTTCCCCTCGTATTTATGACAGTTTCATGAATCACGATGGATTCGACTAGTACACAAAATCTGCACAAAATAAGTAAATTTTCATTACTTTTTTGGCCAAATTTGTTTGTCAAAATATAACATTTATATCCATATAGCTAATGACATTTTTCATAAATAGATAGCAGCTGTAAAACAAGTATCCATTTCATCTTCTCTCAGTGATGTGTTTTTCAGAGTCCATATTATGAGAGGAATCGCCTTTTTAAATATACATAGAAAAACAACTGGAGCCATTTTTCCAAAAAGAATTAGTGTTTACTACTACTGGTTCATTAGCAATGCTGAATACAATGTTAAACCCCTTGATTGAATGAGAACTAAATTAAATCTATTCATTATACCTAAATAAATTACTAATTTTATTCATTTTTATTCTCACATTTTCACAATGTCCAGAGAGTGATTCAATCCAATAAAGTCTTCAATATGTTCTCAATGCATCACCTCTAAACAGCGAGACTAAAAACAAGTTGTTTGTGATATGAATGATATTTGATAGACTATTGTTGCCATTGTTTTAAAATGCCTCACATGTACAATTAAAATAATGAAACCAGAAAGAAACAAAACACATCCCTTCATAAATCATAGTGTTTTATGGCGACACGAGTTTTCTGAACTATTATTCTTGTTCCATCTGTATGAGATGACCATGCACTGCTTGAGCGATGACACTGACACGAGTATTTTCACATTGTTGCTTTACTGTTCAGTTCATCTTGTATACAGTAACACTCAGTGTTTACTGCGCATGTGCAACACAACAGAGGATCAATACGGGTGTCGGAAGAACAACACATGCAACACTTACAATGCAGTTCACAACCATTTTAACCAGTTCCCCTTGTCAAACAATCAAACTTGAATACTAATTTTAGATTAAATAACTGTATTAAATGTAATTCCATCTTTTGCTTATTTACAAGTTATGGAAGTGAACTTTGATCACTTAGACACCTTCAGGCAATGCTTTTTCTTATGTTTCTGTAGACTATATAAATGGCTGAAAGTCTTCTCACATGAAGAGCACTGGTGCGGTTTCTCTCCAGTATGAACTCTCTCATGAACTTTCAGGTTTCCTGAATAAGTGAAACTCTTTTCACAGTGTGAACACTTGTACGGTTTCTCTCCAGTATGAACTCTCTGGTGGGATTTTAAGTTGCTGGATGAAGTGAAGGTCTTTCCACAGTCAGAGCACACATAAGGTTTTACACCAGTATGAATACGCTCATGGTCTTTTAAAGATCCAAGATGTGAAAAACTCTTCCCACATACAGAACAAAAGTGAGGCTTCACAGCAGAATGAACTTTAAGGTGTGATCTAAAGTTTGATTTAAAAACAAATGTTTTATCACACCGATCACAGCTGAATGATCTCACTCCAGAGTGATGGCGCAGATGATCTTTGAGAGCGTTTTTGTAACCGAAACGCTTTCCACACTGAGAGCAAGTGAACGGTTTTTCTCCAGTGTGAATTCTCATGTGATCATTTAAGTATCCTTTGCGAATAAATCCCTTTCCACACTGAGTGCATGTATAAGGCCTTTCTCCAGTGTGAATCTTCATGTGTGTGTTCAGGTTTGATTTACATACGAAACTCTTTCCACACTCAGAACAGGTTAAAGATCCATCGACTCCAGATTTTCCAGCTTGTTTCTGTGTGAAATTCTCTTCAGTCTTTGAAACGACTGCATTTCCATCTTCATTTGTGAAATAATGAGGTTTTTGAAACTGATGAAGTTTGTCTTCATTCACTTCCATCAGGTCTAAAATAAACAAATTAAATTCCCATAATTTAATAAAAGGATACATGAGAAAAAAAATCCAGTTTACTACTGAGTCTACTAGTATCTAGATTTAGATGTTATTTTTATATGTCACTTTTCAGTCATTAAAGAGAATGAAGGAAAACACCAACCTATTTGTTCCTCTGTATCTTCATCTTTTATTCTGCAGGGTTCTTCCTTAATCTCCATCTTTACAATAGTATGTCCGTAGTTTCTCCTGGAGTAATTCCTCCTGCTTGCTTCTTCTTCTCCTGTGGGAAGATGGGAATATTCCCCAGCATTTAAACTCTCATGAACTAGGGGTGGGAGAAAAAAATCGATCCATCGATGCATCGAGATTCTCTCTCCAACGATTCTGGATCGATTCTGAGCTTAGTTTTTAACCAGATGTGCAATGACGTTGAGTTTGCTTTAGAAACACCCGTATTCTGCTTGCTTCCAATTCCTCACACACATACACCACTCGAACCTTGCGTAAAATAATCTTTCATAAAGTTCGGAAAGGTTGAAGCGAATTACAAGGACATTCAAAGGCTTTATTGCACAGGATACGCGCGCTTTCTTTGATGTTACACTTGAAGTGTGCTGTCTCGCCCGTCGGTATTTTCCTTACAAATGCTCTACGAAGTCATCATTTATGTGGTTTGGAATGCAGTGGACTTATACACTCACCGGCCACTTTATTAGGTACACCTGTCCAACTGCTCGTTAACACTTAATTTCTAAGCAGCCAATCACATGGTGGCAACTCAGTGCATTTAGGCATGTAGACATGGTCAAGACAATCTCCTGCAGTTCAAACCGAGCATCAGTATGGGGAAGAAAGGTGATTTGAGTGACTTTGAACGTGGCATGATTGTTGGTGCCAGAAGGGCTGGTCTGAGTATTTCAGAAACTGCTAATCTACTGGGATTTTCACGCACAACCATCTCTAGGGTTTACAGAGAATGGTCCGAAAAAGAAAAAACATCCAGTGAGCGGCAGTTCTGTGGGCGGAAATGCCTTGTTGATGCCAGAGGTCAGTGGAGAATGGCCAGACTGGTTCGAGCTGATAGAAGGGCAACAGTGACTGAAATAACCACTCGTTACAACCGAGGTATGCAGCAAAGCATTTGTGAAGCCACAACACGCACAACCTTGAGTCGGATGGGCTACAACAGCAGAAGACTCCACCGGGTACCACTCATCTCCACTACAAATAGGAAAAAGAGGCTACAATTTGCAAGAGCTCACCAAAATTGAACAGTTGAAGACTGGAAAAATGTTGCCTGGTCTGATGAGTCTCGATTTCTGTTGAGACATTCAGATGTTAGAGTCAGAATTTGGCGTAAACAGAATGAGAACATGGAACCATCATGCCTTGTTACCACTGTGCAGGCTGGTGGTGGTGGTGTAATGGTGTGGGGGATGTTTTCCTGGCACACTTTAGGCCCCTTAGTGCCAATTGGGCATCGTTTAAATGCCACGGCCTACCTGAGCATTGTTTCTGACCATGTCCATCCCTTTATGGCCACCATGTACCCATCCTCTGATTGCTACTTCCACCATGTCACAAAGCTCTAATCATTTCAAATTGGTTTCTTGAACATGACAATGAGTTCACTGTACTAAAATGGCCTCCACAGTCACCAGATCTCAACCCAATAGAGCATCTTTGGGATGTGGTGGAACGGGAGATTCGCATCATGGATGTGCAGCCGACAAATCTGCGGCAACTGTGTGATGCCATCATGTCAATATGGACCAAACTCCCTGAGGAATGCTTCCAGCACCTTGTTGAATCTATGCCACGAAGAATTGAGGCAGTTCTGAAGGCAAAAGGGGGTCCAACCCGTTACTAGCATGGGGTACCTAATAAAGTGGCCGGTGAGTGTATATTTAAAATATGAAACTCACTAACAGAAGGCTGCTTGAACCTCACTAACAGAAATGCTGACGCGCGCTTTGTTTGTGAGACTACTCGCACATGCGGCTGTGCGACTCCGTGTCGTGGTTTAATGTACTTGTGCAAAATTAACGTAAACACAGCCAGTTATGTCTTAAGGGATTAAACGGACAGGACAATATATGTCAAATGTTCTCTATAGGTGAAAGATCTGGACTGCAGGCAGGCCAATTCAACACCCGGACTCTTCTACGATGTACCATGCAGTTGTAATAGCTGCAGTATGTGGTTTTGCATTGTCCTGCTGAAATACACAAGGCCTTCTCTGAAATAGACGTCGTCTGGAGGGGAGCATATTTTAAATGCAAAACATTTATCCAACCCCTTTTTAAAACAGTCTGTGTGTTCCATCTTTTGGACATTCATCATATCACATTGGTTTTCATTTCTTGTCCTCAAAACAGAGCACTGATCTGTTTATTTTTAAAGTTACACATTGATTAAAAAAGAAAATGAAATGTGTTGGTAGTATTATTTTATACGGAAATCAATTATTTATAATTCTGATGGGAATAAAGTTAGGGTTAATTAAAATTAGGGAAAACAAATATATTGATCTGAAATATAGCAAATTACAACCCGAATTCCGGAAAAGTTGGGACGTTTTTTAAATTTGAATAAAATGAAAACTATACGACTTTCAAATCACATGAGCCAATATTTTATTCACAATAGAACATAGATAACATAACAAATGTTTAAACTGAGAAAATTTACACTTTTATCCAATAAATGAGCCCATTTCAAATTTGATGCCTGCTACAGGTCTCAAAATAGTTGGGACGGGGGCACGTTTACCATGGTGTAACATCTCCTCTTCTTTTCAAAACAGTTTGAAGACGTCTGGGCATCGAGTTTATGAGTGTCTGGAGTTTTGGTTTGGAATTTGGTCCCATTCTTGCCTTATATAGGTTTCCAGCTGCTGAAGTGTTCGTGGTCGTCTTTGACGCATTTTTCGTTTAATGATGCGCCAAATGTTCTCTATAGGGGCCAGTGACAAATAAGGTTTTCAACTGATAAAAAATTCAAATAGGTTAAAACTGCACATCAAAGTAGTTATTATCTTTATGGGGATGTTTTTTACTTATTACTAAAATCTCAATTTTAAACAATGTATTTTAAGCGGTTTAACTGAGAAATATGTGACGACACCAGTCAAAATGTCATACGGGATAACGTTAATGCATTTTCTAAATATTATGATATTAAAACTTTTCAAATCAAAAATACTTAATGAATATGTAAAGTGATGCAGTAAACAATATTTAAAGCTCAGAAAAAAAAATCTGCACAACTATTTTTTTCTCATTATATTGTGATTTCTTTAAACGTGACCCTACTTGTTCAAGTTCTTTACACACATTTTAACACTGCAATGTGATTTAAAATGCAAAATGTCTGAAAAAGTTTTACATGACTTGATATCATGTTATTATTGTTTCCTCAACTCCATTAAGTGAAATTATGCATTTCAATGGGAAAAAGCGTTATCCCGCCTGACTTAAATTGTTACCCGGTATGACACCATATGAGTTAACACATGAATTGTCATTTTTACAACACTTACACATAATAATGTTCATAAATAATTAATGTTATGCAATGTTTTTCCAAGGAAATTAATTAGGCTCCACTTTAGAGGAATAGAGATGTGGTTTTCATTGTGTAAACTGTTACACACAAACTCAGTGTGGTTTCTTCCCAGATTTGGCAAGTAAATACATTTAAACCATTTTTTTTTTCATGTTTATGAATATCAAAACAGCACAACTTTTCAACATTAGGTTTAATTTATTACTGAAAAGTACCTTGAACCATTTTACTGATCATAGTCACCCTACATCAATATTCATAAATAATGTAAAGGGTTAAAGTAGGCGACTTTCACTGATTTCACTAGACAAATTTACAAAAGATGTAATTGAACAACATATTTATAAAGAAAAATATTATTAACGGGTTGAACACTGAATCACTAAATTTCATTAAATGAACACTAAATGTTATTTTAGACAATGTCTATAGTAAATGTAATGTAACTGTAATTGAATATTCTTATGAATTTTTTAATTTGCTAATATTCAACTAAACAATGTTAATGATATGTTAATATCACAATTTGAATGGAAATTATGCAAATTAAAGCTGAAAACTGTATAAGAATATATTGTCAAACACGTCATCCAAGATAACGGATGACATTATGGGCTAACAACTGTTATCCTATATGACAAAATTGTTATCCGGTATGACAAAACTCAGATTAAATCTTAATCAGGCAGTATTTTTGGCTACCTATAGAAATCTGCAACCTTTACCTTCAACTTCCAAATATGTAAATTCATGCTAAATAAACAATTGACATAAAATCCACATTACATATGTTATTTTAGCGTTATCCCATATGACACAGGATTTTACTACATAGTGTGCTAGTGAGGAAAAAGGGTAAGTTAAACACATTTTATGAAAGACATAAAAGACTTTCACCATTGTTTGGGGGTACTTCAGGGTCTTCCTGATTGTGTAACATGCTGTCTCACATCGTGTCAAAATAAAATTTACAATAAAATTGCTCCAATTTGCTTGTTATCCCGTATGACATTGGCTGACAGCCAGTTTTGGGACAGAATGCTCCAAAGCATAACAATCAACTGGATGACATATTCTTTGTAATATTTAAATATATTGTTGTCAAGACTCATACAATAATGCCTGTGGCAGAGATGTTAGGGTTTATTAGATTTTTACAGATTGTTTGGCTTTTTTGTATGTCACTCTAAGGTCCGGACAGTTATCCGGTATGACATTATGAGACTATAATGTCTAATAATTCTTACACTTTGTAATATCCTCACTATATGTTCATATCATTTGATAAACAGAGATTAATAGATTCAATAAATGTGCTTTTTATTAAACATTTCCTTAATTTGACTTCATAAAGCGGTTTGGACATCAAAATTGCACGTCACGTCATTGGGCCATAGGTGAAAGATCTGGACTGCAGGCAGGCCAATTCAACACCGGACTATTCTACGATGTAGCC